CATTCTTAGACACAGAAGAACTTCACAGTAACAGAAATCAAATCTCAGAGATTAATTTCTCTGTATGTTTGGATGAACATATTGTGGCATTTATTGTTCTCTTTGAAAGTTCCAAGGAACTGAAAGAAGAAAAACACCTTATAGGCTATTATTGTTGTTGCGTGCCATGGAGTCAGTTCCGACTCGTGGTGACCCTGTACAGGGTTTCTGAGGCTGTAAATCTTTACAGGTGTAGAAACCCTCATCTTTCACCTGTGGAACCGCTGGTAGTTTAGAACTGCTGACCCTGAGGTTAGCAGCCCGATTTGTAACCACTACGCTATCAGAGCTCCTCATAGGCTATTGGAAAACAATATTAGTCTGCCAGAAACAATAGTGGAAAATGGATCCTATAATTTCTGCTTCACTTTTACAACTTGGAAACCAAAATTTTAAGTTATACATAATTTAATTTGTTATTAATTTTCACATCTTATTATTTGGGGTTTAGTGTGAGACAAAGGACCTCTGGTAGTGTAGTGGTTACAAATTGGGCTGCGAACCTCAGGGTTGGCAGTTCAAAACTACCAGCTGTTCCATGGGAGAAGGATGAGGCTTTCTGCTCCCGTAAAGATTTGCAGCCTCGCAGACCCTGTGCAGGGTCACTGTGAGTCGGAATTGACTCCATGGTACTTAACAACAACAACAACAGTGTGATACACAGCTATCTTTATTTAAATCTCTATTTCAATTTTTATAAAGAATTAATGAAGTCACAGTGAATAAATAATTAACTTGAATTAGAAATAAATTTAAGATTTGTAAATATTAAAATAAATATATTCCAAAAGAACTGTTTTCTGTTACAGTAGATGGAATGTCCTCATCCTATAACCATTTGGTATTGAAGGCCATAGAGGTTGAATGACTGGCTAGTGGCCTTGTTTGACAATGGAGAGACAGACCCTGATAAGTTATGTATCTAATCACACAGGTTAATAGATAGAAAAAAAAAGAGAGAGAGACTACAACCCAAGTTCTTTATTTTTTTCCTATGCTCTGCTTACATTACCGTGAAACATGTAATTCTTATGTGCCTTAAACACTATGCCGTATCTAACTTAGTCCTTTATTGAAAAGATAATTTTGAAGATTCTCACATGAAGCCAAATCAGTAAAGAGTTTGGAACTATACAATTGTTCCCTCTATTTTCATTAAAGGACTATAAAAGGTTTCAGGTATGCTGCAAATAGGTTTCAAAGTTGAAAGATAATAAAGCTCCCTTGGTTGAAAAAAAAAGTGGTAGGATGAGATTTTCTGATTCTTAGTCTAGTTCTTTATCCCCTAGCTTGTTTTTTTGCCCTGCCCACTAAGATGCCAACTCTATTTTCTCTCAGAAATGGTGTTTCAGTCACAGATGAATGAATGCTTTTCATATCTGAACAAGTTGCATCTTACACCCATTAAGTGTTCTCTTCTTTAAATTCTAAGAAGTGTCAGTTTAGCAAATATGTCCAATATGGTTATACTAAAGGTTTAAGGAGAACTTTTTGACCACCATCTTTATACCACTAATTTCCTTAGCTGTGAAATGGAGAGTCTAAGACATACAGACCTCTCAGCATTTCAAATACTTTGTTGTAAGTATTCTTTGAGTTAATACACGTCCAGAGCCTGACACAGCAAACATTCAAAATGCTAGGATCCAGCTGCTTCCACAGCTAAGGTCAGCACAGCAGAAAATGTGCATACTTCACCATTCATTCACCACCTCCTCCCAATGCCTTTCCTGTTCCTTCTCACAGCTCTAGTTGAGCAATTCTGTCTCTTCCCTGCTTCGCAATTCTTGCACACAACACACAGTATACACAGACCCAAACCATCTACTAACTAGTTTTCCTACTTTCAGACTTGCCCTTCTCCAATTCATTCTTTATGGTGCCTAGTACTTTTTCTACAGCTCAAATCTGATCATGTCATTCTTCAGTTTAGAGTCCCTCATAAGTTCCTACTCCAGCTAGAGCAGAAATTCTGTAATATGGCCTATAACCCACTCACTGTCATCAAGTTGATTCCAACTCATAGCAATCCTATATAAGGGTTTCCAAGACTGTAAATCTTGAGGGGACCCAACAGCTTTGTCTTTCTCCTGAGAAGCAGCTGATGGGTTTGAACTGCTGACCTTGCAGTTAGCCGCCCAATAATTAATTAAAGTCCATTTAACTCTCTATGGTCATCTCTCTGGGCTCAAGTCAACCTGAACTGGCCAGTTCTTCCAGGTAACAAGGTAAATACTTCCACTGTTGACAATGACCAATATGCAGATGCCGAAGATGCTTAATAATGTCAAGCCCTAAGCCACACTACAAGCAATGGTGAATCACCCAGATCAACTTTAACCTACAATGAAAGTAAAGGAAAAGATTACAAATGAATAAGAAGACAAAATGCCTTAAAACTACCAATCCTCACCATGTTTTTGGAGAATCTCCTGAAGATCTGGCTTGGAAGCCATATCCAATGTGCTTTCCCCATCAATGCTTCCTTCAGTGTCCTCTTCTGTAGCAGAAGAGCCTACTGACAGGACATGAAGTTTGGTTTCCAAATCTTGGGTATCTGGCTTCAGGAAGGCAGCTGGACCATCAATGCCTAAGGTCGAAAGAAAGAAAAAAGAGGGAAGTGTTATTGACCATTGTGAGGGTGATTGCAGTTTATGCAATGAGAATTTCACAGCTCTTCCTTCCTTAACATCTGATCTATCAGGATACGTGTTAGCACAGCAGCCCAGCGCTGGTGCTCATCTTATTAACATGCTCTGACTGGTTCTAAAGTAACACAGCTGTGCTTTAGACACTTAAGAACGTAACCAAGAAAACAAGATAGGTCCTCCATTGTACAGATCCTATTCCAACTGGTAGCTCTAGGAGCTTGATTCAGAGGCTCTTATTTCTATTCCTGCTAGTCTCCCAATACAATCACAGAGTTCGATGTTTTGGGGAAATGGATGCTTTTTCATTCCTCCTGGCTTCGCAGGTAACCTCTGCCATGATAAAACAAGGCCGCTATTGTTGTTGAGTGCCATGAGTTGGTTCCAACTCATAGTGATCCCCTTTGACAGAAAACTGCCCTATAGGGTTTTCTTGGTTATAATATTTACAGAAGCAGACCTCCAGGTCTTCTATCCCACTAAGCCAATGGGAGGATCCAAACCACTAACCTTTTGGTTCATATCCAAGTGCTTAACTGCTGCATCACCAGGACTCATTAGTAAGGCTGTAAGCCCCTTCAATAGGTCATTCTGGACTAATTCATTTGGCATCCAAAACCTCAGTTCTAGGATGGGCATAAATTTGCGATATCTTCCATTAATTAATACAATCCTGTCATTCTAACTAAAAGCAGCCCTATGTGATTACAAGGATGTATGCAAGTACCTAGTAACAGTGGTAATAGTGTCCCCTTGGTCCCTTTGAGAATCTTCCTGCCCTCTCCTAGACCTGTGGGAACTGCACCCCTGTAGCAAGGAACGTTGCCCAAATACACACCATGTAGGATGACATCATTGTGAGGGGTATGAGGTGCCACTAAAGGCGTTTGCTCCTCACTACCTCTTGGCTTTGAGCGGCACAGTCTGGCTTCTGGGTTTGGCTGCACCATGAGTGGCTCAAGGCGCTTTTTCCTCTGCTTCTTCTCCAGCAGTGCTCTCTAGAAAAAAGTAAGTGTCCTCAGTCAGCAAAGTAGTGATCAAATCTAGCTACTTACATTTCCGGCTTGTTTTTTTCACAAAACCTCTTGTAAATTATTTTTTTCCACTTAAGAACTGGGAAAATTGGAGCACAAAGAGGAGCAAGGATTCATTCATTCATGTAATAAGTATTTAATTAAATACTTATAAAGATCTATTTAAAACCAAGCAATACACTGCTAGGCCAACTGAGGCTATGATTCAAGTCTACTGAAAAAATATATGGTAATTCCCATATTATTATCAAAACATGATCACAGTTTAAAATTTATAAACACAGATGCATTAAGTTAAAAGAGGAGGAACACACAAACAGTGATTTCTTTGGGTGGCAGAATATAGATGATTATTTCTTTTTTTCTAATTTCCTGTACTTCCCAAATTTTCTTACCTTTGTAAATAGAGGAATAAAAATTTATTATCCTTTATTAGCGTAGTGGTTATGAATCGGGCTGTGAACCGCAAGGTCAGCAGTTCGAAACTACCAGTTGTTCTGCGGGAGAAAGATGAGGCTTTCTGTTCCCATAAAGATTAACAGCCTCGGAAACCCTGTACAGGGTCGCTATGAGTCGGAACTGACTCCACGGCACATAACAACAACAAACACCAAATTAGTGTAGTGTTTACGAATTGGGCTGCTAACCTCAGGGTCAGCAGTTCGAAACTACCAGCTGTTCCACGGGAGAAAGATGAGGCTTTCTGTTCCCATAAAGATCTACAGCCTCAGAAACCCTGTGCAGGTTTGCTATGAGTCAGAACTGATTCCACAGCACATAACAACAACAAACACCAAATTATTTTTATATTTTAATCAGCTAAAGATAAATAAGTTTTGATTTTATTTTCTTGCTCATTTTACATAAATAGAAATCAAACAAATTAGGGCCAAGAGTAAGAAGAAAGAAAGTGGAACACTTTAAATCAAAGGCATTCAAGTTTATGAAGAAAAACCATGTAAAGGAATATGGCGTGAGAAAACTCAAGAAAAAAGCATGAGAGCCAATGAGAATACCCAATGAGATGGAAAAGAAGGCACCATCATATAGCATAGTTATAAACTTTAGCAAGCAAGAGTTTGTAACACAGAGAAATTATTCTAGGTTATCTTAGAATAGAAAAAGTGCCAAGCCCAAAGCTAAATCTAAAAAAGTCACGTAACTTACTATTTCTCATAGCCATATCACTTTTTCCCATTATTGCTTCAGAATAAGCATTGGACTGCAAACCACAAGGTCTGCAGGACAAAGATGAGGCTTTCTGCTCCCCCAAGATTGAAAGCTTCGGACACCCTACACAGGGTTTCTCTGAGTCGGAACCGACTCGACAGCACTTAACAACAACACTGCTTCAGAAAAGAGATGCTAGAAGAAGTCACTCCAAGGGCTAAGATTATCAGCAGGGAAGGAAATGTGTTTTTTCTGAAAAGGACTTATAAAGGTATGCAACTAAATTCAGAAGACACAGGAGAAATAGAGCTATTTCTTTTTACTCAACTTTTGTAAAAAAACAAAACAAAACAAAACAAAAAAACCCAAAGAACAAAGATGGACAATACCATTAAGAATGAACAGAGGGTTGGAGTAAACTGGAAGGACATACTTGTTGGAGTTTTGAGTTTACCACCTGAGGTACTCTGAGGAAAAGGATCTTGTTGTAATAGGAACACAAAGTACAGATACAGGAGGCTGTCATGAGGCACTCCTCCTCAAACTTGGCAATGAGGGAAGGTCCATCTAGCAACCAAGAAGTCTAATATAATGAATCAGAAGTAACTCACCTGAAGAGCTGGTAAATATGAAATCTAGAAAATACATCTTATATATCTGACCACAGCTATTTGGCTTCATGAAATCTCATAGCTGTGACCGGTGAAACAAACACACAAATTGCAGCCTGATCCATTTTGTTAACATCTGTAAAAGAAGACAGTTCTATAAAAGGAGTATTTTACTAGTGATCTAGAAAAAGGGAGTAAGAATTTGACAGAGCTTATCTAGACTCTCTGAGAAAGAAAAATACTGAAAAAGAGCATTCTGTTCACTGGGAAAGCTGCCTCTGTCTGAAAGCAATAAACTATAGAAGACTTCTTCATGGCCTAGATGAAATACCCTTTTGTTGTTGTTAAGTGCCGTCAAGTCGGTTCCAACACATAGTGACCCTGTATAGGGTTTCCAAGGAGCGACTGGTAAGCTTGAAGCACCGATCTTGTAGTTCACAGGGCTTTGTAGCCTGGCGCATTAACCCACAGCGCCACACCAGGACTCTGGATGAAGTACCCTTTGGGACTATCTAATTTTGTTAACTGATTCCTTGCTTATGGATCAGTCTCCTCATTTTCAGTTGAACTTCTTAAGTATACTATTCCCAGGAATAGAGTATCCAGAACAGTAGAGACAAATACACACAGGAAAAGTACGTTCCCAATGTAAATTAGCAAATTGGTGTTCTAATTTTACAACTGACTACTGTGAGTTTGCTACGGAGTCCTGGTGTGGTGCTGTGGGTTAATGCACCAGACTGCAAAGCCGTCTGAACTGCAAGGTCGCTGGTTCAAGCTCACCAGCTACTCCTTGGAAACCCTATACAGGGTCACTATGGGTCGGAACCGACTTGACAGCACTTAACAACAACTGTGAGTTTGCTAGAGTGATACGGTGCCTAAGAACCTGGTTCTATCTATGTTCACTGACAAAACCAAGTTTCTAGACCTGTAAAGTAAGGACTAGACTCTGGATCACAGTGATGCTACCAAGGTATCTGGTGAAGCCTTCCTGTTTTAACTTCAACACCAACCAAATTCATTTAGATCAACAACTTAGGAGAAAAAACAGTAGGTCCAAACTAAACTTCAAGATCACAATTACTATACTGTTGCATTAAATATATCCTACTATCGACCAATTTTGTTAGGAAAAAAAACCCTACATATTAGAAAATTACCATCTTGGTGAAAATTGTCACCTGACTCAACACTTTAACACCCTGACATCATCTAGATGAGGAAGAAAGGAAGGTACTAATTGAGTTTGAATTCAACAATGTCGACTCATAGTTTATTTGTATTTCACTTTTCCCTAAAAAGCTAACAATGCTTTTACATGAGGCTAGATAAACAAAAGCCTTCTTACAAAGTTAGGGGGCTCAGGAAGAGAGCCAGTTAATTGTTAGGTGACTTACAGTTAACAGAAATACGTTACCTTCAGGATTTTATGTCACATAAACTAAAATTTAATCACCTTGAAATTTCTCAATTCTCAATTCTCTTGGGAACTGAACAATGACTCATAATACTCTTCTTCTCCAGATTACAGTGGTATGTCTTACTACCACCTAGGGACAAAATATTGAATGGTGATGCCAAAATAAACGATGATTGAAAAAAAGGAGACTAGATAGGGTAAAATGTTTCTATCAATGGGCTGAAAAGGACAGTATTCAATACAATAATAAAGCTCAGGCAAGCCTCACGTTGATGATAGCTTGGTTTCACTGATTCTCAAATACAGGCAGTCCCTGGTTATAGACATCCTAACATACAACCCATAGTTACAAAGCAACCCTTGTAAAGCCTCATGCCAACTCATTACCACTGAGTCAATTACAGCGACCCAACTGTATAAGGTTTCCCTGGCTGTACATCTTTAAGTGAGTAAAAAGCTTTATCTTGCTCTCATGGAGTGGCTGCTGGGTGTGAACTGCTGACCTTGTAGATAGCAGTCTAGTGCTTTTCCTACAGCACCACACCATGGCTCTAGTATATTAAAAAAATTTAAAGTTTCGTAATAATAAATAGGCACTACTTTCAACACATAGCAACACATAATAATTATTGATTATTCTAATGTTGTTTTAAGGTATCCAGAAGTATTTTTTTAATGTTTTTTTTTGTAACTAGAAAGGAACGCTATATATTATCTACTAAAACAAACATTTGACTGACATTAGATATGAACCGTATCTAACTATACCAACTGATTTACAAATTCAATTTAAAGACAGACTTCATTCATAATAAACAGAATTCATTCATAATCCAGGGACTCTCAAGAAGATGATGGCTAGAGTTACATTATGACATTCGCGGAATAAAGTGGCCACAAGGTACAATTGACAAGGTCAGAATGGTTTACCTAAAAACGACCAACTTCCCTGACACACATGGGAAATCATAGGATGAAAGACCAAAAGCTTTAAACCAGATTTCTTAAAATATCAATTCAGTACACACTGGTAATTGCATGTCTTTGGAGGGCATGGAAAATCTTGTCCAAAGGGACTGTATTGTACTTTAATTTATTTTCCACCAGATGGCATAAAAATGTTCTTTACCTAATGTGTATCCATGTCTGAGTAATGTCACTGGAAGAACCTAAACATCTTTACTTTTTATAGCCAGTTAACACGCTCTAGTGAAACTACTGAAAATAAAAGCACAATATATTAGGTAGGAAAATAGTATTTTCAATAACTGGTGCTGGGACAACTGGATCTCCACATGGATAATAATGAAGTTGGATCCTTAACTTACACCACAAACACAAATTAACTAAAAATGGATCAGACAAAGTGTGAAGAGCTAAAACCACAAAGCTTTCTTTCAGAAGAAAACAGGAGAAAGTCTTTGTAACTTTGGGTTAAGCCATGGTTTCTTAGATACGGCATCAATAGTGCAAAGGACAAAAGCAAAAATTAGGTAAGTTAAAACTTTGGGGCTGCAAATGATACCATCAGGAAAGTAAAAAGACAAAAAAGGAAAACCACCCATGCACTGAATGGGAGAAAATATTTGCAAATCATGTATCTGATAGGGCTTTGGATTCAGAATAGTTTAAAAATTTTAAGAAAAAGTCAAGTTACCCAATTTAAAAATGGGCATAAAGTTCTAAGAGACTTTTCTCCAAAGAAGATAAGCAAGCAACCATTAAGTACATAAAAAGATGCTCAACATCACTAGTTATTAGGTAAATGCATATCAAAACTACAAGGAAATACCACTTCATATAAAAGGGCTATAATAAAAAAATGTGAAAAACAGAAACTAGCAAGTGTTGACAAGGACACGGATAGATCAGAACACTCATACACTGCTGGTGGGAATGTAAAATGATAAAGCCACTTTGGAAAACAGTCTGGTAGTTCCTTGAAATGTTAAAACAGAATTATCATGTGACCCAACAATCCTAATCCTAGGTATATTTATTGCCCAAGAAAAATTAAAATACATGTCCACACAAAAACCTTGTACACAAATGTTCATAGCTACACTGTTTATAATAGTGAAAAATGCCCATCAAAGTATGAATGGATAAATAAAATGTGGCATATCCATACAATGATATGCCACATTTTATTTATCCATTCATAAAACAACAAAGAGGAATGAAGTGCCAACATGTACTACAACATGGATGAGCACTGTGAACATTACACCAAGTCAAAAGAAGTCAGATATGAGACACATACAACACACAGGTCCCAATCACAGAGACAGAGGGTGGATTAGTGGTTATTTAGGGCTGGGTGCCACCACTCCTATGTCAGTTTGTGGTTCTGTGGTGGCTGCGCGTTACTGGAAGCTATGCCACTGCTATCTTAAATACAAGTAGGGTCACCCACAGTGGACAAGTTTCAACAGCGCTTCCAGACTAAGACAGACTAGAAAGAAGGAAGAGGGGGACTACTTCTGAATGCTGAGCCACTGAAAACCTTATGAATGGCAGCAGAACACTCAGATACAGTACCAGAAGATGGAAGAGCAAAGGCATCAGTCTGAAGGCTAAGGTTCACCTGACCCAAGCCAGGGTATTTTCAACTGGCTCATATGCATGTAAAAGCAGGACAATGAGGAAGGAAGACTGTAAATAAGTGATGCCTTTGAATTGTGGTGTTGGAGAAGAGCACTGGAAATACTATACACAGCTAGAAGAACAAACAAATCTGTGTTGGAAGAAGTACAGCAGGAATGCTCCTTAGAAACCAGGATGGTGAGACTTCCTCTTTCGTACTTTGGACATGTTATCAGGAGGGACCAGTTTTTAGAGAAAGACATCACGCATGGTAAGATGGAGGGTCAGCAAAAACAAGGGAGACCTCCAAAAAGACTGCGAGTGGTAACAGCAATGGGCTCAAGCTTCACAACAATTGTGAGGATGGTGTAGGACCAGGTAGTGTTTGGTTTTGCATATGGCCGCTGTGAGCTGGAGCCAACTCCACAGCACCTACCACCAACAACAGTAACAGGGCTGGGTGCAAGGGGAAATAGGGAGTGCCTGCTCAAAAACTCAATTGTAGTGCTGGCTGAACAACTCTGTGGATATGCTAAATACCAAATATGTCATATAAAATATACATAATGTGGCTTCAAAAAGTTCATGGGAAAATGGAATAGAAAGATATGGAGTTTTCCCACAAACTTTTTGAAGTCCCCTCATGCAAAAAACTATTAAATTGTGCCCTTGTATAGGTGTATATTTATGGTAGGAGTCCTGGTGTGGCAGTATAGGATAAGCATTGTACTGCCACCCACAAGGTCAGCAGTTCAAACCTATCAGCTGCTCTTTGGAAACCTACACAAGGTAGCTATGAGTCAGAATTGACTCAGTGGCACTTAACAACTACAACTTATTTATGGTAAGTGAATTAGATCTTAATGAATCTGTTTGCAAAACATATATTAATCTGTTTGCAAAAAACATAATAAATAATGCGAATTCCCAGCCCAATGTTTTATTCGTTGTGTAGGGTCGCTATGGGTCGGAACCGACTCGAGAGCACTTAACAACAACAACAACAGTGCCCCCTTACAGTTCAAACCAACCTTATGATCTAGCGCTTTATCCTACAGCGTGCACCACACCAGGGATTCCAGAATAATACTGTTGTTGTTGTTAAGTGCCACTGAGTCTATTCTGACTCACAGCGAACCTGTATAGGGTGTCCAAGGAACAGCTGGTAGGTTTGAATGGCTGACCTTGGTGTTCTCAGTACACTGCTAATCCTACAGCACCACACCAACACATACACGCAGAATTTCCCCTATGATCCCAGGAAGACTAGTTTCCTCCCTTGTTTTAAATAATTCCATTTCCAAAAGTAACTTGTGGGGTTAGAAGTCTCCTTATATAAATTTTACCAGCAACAGAAAGAAGACAAGACTTTGGCAATACAGGTAGACAGAGGTAAACACTTCCTGAATTAGAAAAAAAATCATGTGAAAAAGTAAGTATGAAAGCAATGCATGCTGGTATAGGTTCCAAGCTGCCTGACCATGATGGCCACAGCATGTAACAATGCAGAAGTGTTCGTTTATGCCTTCCTTCACTCAAATATTAACGAAGGACTATTTTGTACCCAGCCTGAAGCTAGGAACATCTGGTATAATGGTCTGCTATCTGATAGCATAGTGGTTAGGAATTGGGCTACGAACCTCAAGGTCAGCAGTTCGAAACTACCAGCTGTTCCATGGGAGAAAGATGAGGCTTTCTGCTCCCATAAAGATTTATAGCCGAGGAAACCCTGTACAGGGTCACTATGAGTCCGAACCGACTCCCCGGCACATAACAACAACAACATAATGGTAAAATGATTCCTGTTCTTCTTGTGCTTTGTCTAGTGAAGGAGACAGACAGACGTAAGTCACAATAAACATGTAACTGAAAACTGAGTAAGTGCTATGAAAGGAATGACTCTGTATGTAGGCAAAGGGGGTTTTTAAGCAGCAGAGTAGCATGTTCAGATCTGCATTTTAGGATAAGAAACAATCTTGTAGTTAAATGAAATTATAGCATAGAGAACTAGTTAAGGTAGCAGAACCAAATGACTACACAGAAATACAATGTGAACATTCTTCCATTTCTTATGGAAGGTGCCAAGGAATTTTCAGTGATTATCAATCCAAGGACAGTTCTATTGCTTATGTCCTCAGAGTACTTTAGTCTTGGTCATTGCCCTAAGCCTTGGATTAGCAAGCAAATGCTAACTCCAGGCACTGCTAAATGAACTACCGCAGAGCCTTTTGCTTTCCAAGCTTCTAGGCCTGCCTGCCAAAGCTTCACAGTCAGGTCCATCAGCATCACATCAGTATAGCCATCTAGCTATTTCAAAAGGGGTGACTGCTCACCTGATTATCCAGTTTCAGCTGCCGAAGCTTCAAGGTCTCATCTTCAAAGGCACTGTTTTTTCAAAAAATAATAATGGGGAGAAAATATAAAGAGAAAATCCTTTTAACATCTTGTCAATTTCAACTCCCCTTATATATCTACAACTCCTTTGGGCTATTTGGAACCAATTAGTTTTGCTTTAAGGAAACCCAAAGTTTCCAGATGCTGCCCACAATGAGACTGGGGCAACCTGCCATTTTTAATTCATCACTTATTCCTCAGAACTGAGGAGGCTGAAATACCTAAAAGATAAGAAAAAGACGAAGAGTACAGACTTAATGCATGCAGGAGTGTTTCTATTTTTAAATTACTTACTGAGTATTCATTATATTCCAGATACAATGTTATGTGCTTTACATGTGTCATTATATGTATTCCTCAAAACCATACCATGAACAACTAGGTAATGAAGGAGTCCTGGTGATGTCTCAGGTTATAGAGTGGGTGGCTAACTGCAAGATCAGCAGTTCAAATTCATCAACCACTCCATGGGAGAAAGCTATGGCTTTCTGCTCCCAAAAAGATTTATAGCCTCAGAGACCCTACACAGGGTTGCTATGAATCACAACTGACTTTGCAGCACACAATCACCACCACAACTAGGTAATGGGATCATCCACAATCAATGCCCATGGAAGCCGCGGTCAGCAAACAATGTATAGCGCTGAGCAAATCTACTACTAAAAACC